AGTATTATTTTAATTATTACCATTGTTGTGATGGCTGTGTAGAATCCAGCCTTCCCACTTACTATCTTATAATAACTTTACACTTTGTAGAATGGAAGTTGTTGCTGGACCAGTCCAAAGGACTACCTTAATGTGACTGTGTGAGTTCTCCACCCTTTTTGCATGTCTTGTACCTCAATTTTCTTTTTCTGTGTATGAGTTGTCAACTATTGGAGATTCAAAGACTGTTCCACCTCTTCTGGCTCCTTGGCTTTACCCCATCACTCAGACTGGTCACCAGTCTCCTCTAAATATATGTCTGGGTGCTTTGTGCTAGACTAGCAAAGGTTTCCTCCTAACAACCCCCGCCCCCTCGCAAAACACAAAGAAACCACAAATGTCTTCCCTTATAAACTGGGTTGTTATATCTACAGAAAGACAAATGTGGATTTGTACTCCTATAGGAAGGTTTTCACAATACTGCATTCATGGGGTACAGAAGGTGATTGCTGTGCCCCAAACCCAGACAACAAATTTAATTTGGCTTTACCTCCCCGATTACAATTTTCAACTGATCTCACAGTTCTCGTAAAACTAAAAAGATCCCATATGTCTGTCCATACCTCTTTTAGAGGCCAGGTTGGGTGGGACGATTCAACAAAAACCAAGAAGATTTCAAGACATGAGCCTGAAGGATGTAATTAAGGACCTTCCACCTTTCTTCTATAATTGCTGTCTAACATGTTTTACAATCTTACTACAGTAAGGAAAATTGAGGAATAATGGGATAGGAAAATGGTGAATCATGAATTGGGCTGACAATGTAAATCACATTAAAGCTATTGGGTAGGATGTTGATCCAAAGGAGGACATTCATGTGACAATGTGATCTCCCCATTCACTTCATGCTCCATGACTCTGTTTTTAATTTCAGTTGAACAAAGTTAATAAATTTAGTTATGTCTAAATAAGATCTCGATGAAACAAGAAACAAATTAGCATGAGCAAAACTTCAAACTTCTGCATGAACATTACAACATACTTCCTCTGTGATTTAAATAACTTTTGATGATTAGCAAGTATCTGGCATTTTTAGTTAGTCAGCAATAGCATTTAGATTTTGAAATTGTCAGCAAACTTGTTGAGTTGCAGGAAACAATGAGTTATTCTGTGGTTGCAACTCTAAATCTATTCAACACTAAAAAAAAATAAAAACCACACACACACACACAGAGCAGTGCAATGGCTGACACACCCATAGAATCTATGGAAACTTTGCCAGATTATCCCAATCAGAGGCAGAACTGGTGACAACACTCACATGCCACACAGGTACGATTTAGAAATGTATGAACAGAAGTGGTAGCAATATGCTCAAATTTCCATGTAGATTGTGAGGCCAAGACTGTTCTGTGTTATGTCCTTTTTCTCCCTTGTTTTCTATCCTCAGAACTCCTCTTGGGCCCAGAGGGATTTTGCTCTGGCCTCTGCACCCTATAATCTGAATTATAATCTGTGTAGAGTTTGAAGACTGGTGGTGGTGTGCTGTGACTGGATACCGAGTTAGACCATATTCTATGCTGTATTGCCCATGAAAGCAGGCAATACAGTGCCCATGAAAGCAGGGACAGCTATTTTTTCAATTTGCCTCTGTGGACTGGGCAATAAGAGGGAAAATTCCTGTGTTGGCACTGATGTAAAGATATGCCATTGAGATGGACATGGCTGCAGACTGAACAGGAACTGGATATAGCATAAATGTGCTTCATCTCTGGCTTTGATCTCGAACACTAATACCCTTTAAGCCCCTCCCAGGTTTAGTAAGAGCACACTTCAATGCAGCCATGGCCATGCATTTAGGAAGAATTGTACTGAGAACAATTTGTGCCACTCTGTTCTGCCCAAAAACCCTGAAAAGGCCTCGGGGCTGATCTGCACACTGGGAAAATTAGAAATTAGGCCTGAGTGGCTAGACAGCCAGCTAACTGTAGTGTGCACAGCAGTGTTTCTAGTCCTGTAATGTTGTTTCTTCCTTTGCCATCAAGAAGGATAAATAGCCACTATGACTGTGATTACAGTGACCATTTAAAATATAGGGTAACTTAGCACAGATATTTTTCAGATCACTTTCAGTTCTTTCTTTTTTTCACCCTTTTAGCAGTAAGCACCCTGTTCTTATTCTTTGTATTAACTGCAGAATAAGCAAACTTCTTACTGCAGGCAAACTAACAAGCTACTGAAACTGGAAAACAGAACAAAGTACAGTCCAAGGGGGTGGACCCAACTCTGGCCCATAATATGAAGTACTGATATTTAACTCTAAGGGTTGTGTTACTGTAAAGAGTGCTTTTTTCCAGGATAACTTAAGAATTAAAGAATGATTATGGTTATGAAAAATCCAGCCTCTGTCAGGAAAAATCTTATATTAATACATTTTTGGGGGTTCTCCCAGGTGAGGCTTTTGTTTTGTTTACTGAATTCTTAAATTGTTCCTGTATGTAAAAAAAGTCATTCTTGAAATGGAGGCTTTAATTGCCTGTCATGAGATGAAGCAATGCTTTAAGGGGTAATGCACCCACTTACTGCAGTCTGGTTACAGGGCTGGCCATGCCCCACTGAGAAGAGCTCCCTGGAGTTGCTCCTCCTCTTCTCCATTGTGACCTGCTTGTTCACCTGCCTCTTGCTTTGGCCCAGCCAGCAGCCATCGTAGGAAGGAGAAGCGGCAGATGCCCGGCCTCCTTGCTCGCTGGCTCTCCCCCATCAAGCAAGCTATGTAGAGGAAGAGGATGAGCAGGGGGCTGAGAAAGAAGAGGAGGAGGTACAAGAGCAGCTGGTGAGCACAGTTGTGAGAAGGCGAACTCCTGACGGATGGGGCCCACAGAGAATGCCTTACCCAAGGGTCCTTCAAAGCATGGAGCTACATAACACTGCCATCCATAACACATTCATTTAAGTGCAGCAAAATATCACTGAAGGGAAGCATAGATAATACCAAGCTAGATTGTCCAAAGGGTAAGTAAAAGACAACTGCTTGTACACTGTATATACAGAACACAGAGGTTTTGGCCTCATAAAGACTCATAGGCTTACTTAGTTTACTTAGCCTAAGTTAGCTAGTATGTAGAGAGACAAGTGACGAAGGCCTCAAAGCCTCTCCCAGTTGGACCTTCCCTGCCACTTCTCCCCAGGGCCATTTGCCATCTGCATCAGTGATCAGGGAAAAGATTCCAGGAGAGAAAGGGAGGTAGATGCGGATAACTGTGGTCACCAGCTCCTATTCCATCTGGATTTTTCATGCTTCTGGAGCCATCTTTCACCAACTTCCCTGTGAGAAGGATGTCCTATGTTAATGATATTATTTTCATTCTATTCTCAGCTGCTTGGTAGGATTTGTATCCAGAAAGAAAGCATACAAATAATTGTGATAAATACATAAAAAATGAACACACACACACGATGGCAGAGGGAAGAAATGTAAACTGTAAAGTCAAAAGAAAATGAAATGAAATATGTACAGCTTGTAAAAATTGCACGACAACTTAGCAACTATACAAACCTGGTTGATGACATCATTAGCATTCTGTCATTGGTAAGCTAATTAATTGTGACATGATAGTGGTACTTACAGAAAATGTTTTCATCTACCTCACAGCACATTACTTATTTAATATTTCTGATCACCCATGAACATTCTTATGATACATGCTACAGTGTAAGCAATAATAATAATACATGTACAATATCTACAAGCCACTTGATCTTTTTCAGTTTACATACTTTGCAGTATTTTTATATCAAGCATTACACTTCCTCCAGTTGTTGTTGTTGTTGTTGTTTTTTTTTAGTGCTTCCCAAATTAGAGCAGTTCACAGCCAGAAAAAGTAGGCAATACACTCTAACTAATGTGAACATGAGGTCATTCATCCAATGTGTACCAACAGGTATGCGTTGGCAGAATAAGGACATTCTGGAACTGTTGTGTCTCCTGAGGACCTGGGCTATTTTTGTAATAAAGCACATTAATGTCTGCCTATGGAACTATCCTATAAAATAGGGGATGAAGAATAGCTAGCAGATGCAATGAGAACAGACATGGGTCTCGGACAGTTAATGTCTATTACTGGGCTCCGTATATAAGAAAAGCCCACATGAAAATACAGAATAGAATGAGTTTCCTCTGCAGCATGGCCAGGGTCAGCCCATGACATTTTGCTGCAAGAGGCAATGCCCAAGATGGTGTCTTTTCCACAAGAAGCAAACTGGACTGGCAATTAATTTTACTTTTTCAGCTCGGAGGATGGGACAATATCCTTTACCACAGCTGATGGCAGCCGGCTAGTTCAGGCAAGTGGAGAGAGCAGGCTTTTAGGCGCACCTGTGTGTCCCCCAAAGAGGGGATAACTTGGGGAATCCCAGGAAAAACGGCCTGAGGACTGCCACTGCTTGCCTCACTCTGCCTAATAAAGGTGGTGGCCGGGCCTTTAGCCGGGAGCGAGCTAGTGGCCCCCCTTTTTACAAATAAATAAATAAATAAAACACTTCTACATTTTATCTTGAAAGGCCTTCAGACCAAATGAATTACAACACTCCACTCGTTTGGCGCCCCTCCCGACCTTTTAGGCAGCCGACTCTCGGCATGTACCTAGTTCACAGCCCAGTGATTTCTCCGAAGGAAGCATGCTTGAGTTCAACGAGGCTCACTCCTCAATCAGCATGCAGAGACAGACCTCGCCAAATCCAGTGAGGACTGCCAAAAGTTTAGGCCCCTCCCCCACTCCACAGACATTTATTGCAAAGAATGTTCTAAAATGCGTTTAGGCACTTGATTCGGGACCTCAAGATAAGCCAAAGTAAGAGCGGAGCTACCCCGAGTCAAACTAGGGGCGGAGACAGGCTGGGCTACAGCGGGTTAACAATCCCTGAACGCCTATAGGGCAGGCTGGGCGGAGATTGCCATTCAGATCTTGGATAGGAAGAAAGTTACTGAGTGTTGGGAGAGAGTAAAGAGAAAGAAGGCGACGGCGAGCCGTCCAAGAAGTGGGAGGAAAACAAGAGGGAGAAAGACACTCTCGCGCATACACACAGCCATTAAGCAGGCAGGTCCAAGCAGGGAAAGATGATGAAAAGATTGCCGAGACAGGGCCTTGGCGATCTCCACGGTTGAGGAGGCGCTCCGACCGTCGCGCAACTTTGGGGTCGCTGGGGAGCGCAGCACCGAAGCGAGGATTGCCCGGCAGGGACGCTGCCATGGACGGGGTTGTCGTGGTGTAAGAAGGAGCCGGCGTCTTCTCGCTGTCGTCCCATCTTCGCTTTTTTCCCGCGTTGCCTCCGTTGCCCGGACCGGCCCGAGCAGGAATGCCCAGGGTCGCGCCTGATCCAGCCGCCGAAGCGACCTGCGCCTCCCGCCGCCCAAGCGGTGGCCTTCGCTAAAGGCGACCGCGCTGCTCAGAGAGCGCTGCCGTTCTTCCTTCGCCCTCCCGAGCTGCACAAAAGAGTTCAGGGGACTTTTGTTATCCCCCCACCCCCCACGTCTCACGCTGAGGTGGTCGACATGTCCCGCGGGAGGGGGATCCTGCCATACCCCGCCGCTGCCTATTTTTGCATCTTTTCCTCCTTTATCCACAGCGTTAGCGGTAAGTGGAATTCCTTCAGAAACAAACTTATCACCCTGGATTCGTACTATAAATCAGCATGTTTGAATGGTGCTGTGAAGGAGGGAAATAAAAGTTGCGTGAGTACTTTACGGAGTTCCGTTGCAATTCCAGTACCACCGCCTCCCCCACCAACCTCAAATTTGGCATACTCCAACCATAGGGAATCTTACTGAATTAATTATAAAGAGGTGTGTATTAGTCAGAGCAATGTCTGGCTCCATAAACAAAGTTTATTTGTGACTTGATTTTTAATTCATTTTTGTAAATTTCCATGCTGCCTGCCTCCACATCTTCAAACAATAAAAGTGGTATGTTAAAAATGCATGGAAACACACAAAAATTGCAGAAGTTAGAACGCATGCCAGTAAATAGATGGTAATCATTCTTTACAGTGCTAAAAATAGTTATCAATTATGCCATCTCAAGCATTTCGAGACTCTTGGGTTCTTGAGAGTGAAGATCAATAAGTATCAAAGGCACAGTCACTGAGCTGAATTGAAGTGTGCGATCTGGTTCCTTCCCGGATGACAACAGCTTCCAGCATCCTTCAGCCATCTCTGTAGGGCCCCAGCTCAGGGAAAGGCTGCAGCATGCATACTTCTTTGGAGGTGCTTAATCTCCTCAGCATTTAGGAAAACTATAATTGTTTTGTTGCTCTTGTGTTGAAGACATTGAGGGACACAGGCAACTAGCCAAATGGCTTTGGTTTGCCAAGTATCTTGGGCAACCACTTGTGGAAATGCAGGCTGTGGCAATAGAAGCCAAAGGATATTGGCACTACTGTATCAAGAATGCAGGTGCCAGGTTTTTAATACTGATGAAGGATCTGCCCCTGGAATATTCCTATATGATTCTCTTACCTGGACTATGCCTTTTCCGAAGAAGAATAAAGGTATAAATATTACTATGTATATGTATTGTGTATATAAATATTATTGTGTAAATATGTATGTAAGAGTGGTATTATGTTTATGGACATGTATGTGTTCATATACATGAAGCCTTAGGGAAAAATACCTGCTTTCTATGCAATCTTCTAATTCACTTCTTACAAAGACCACTTCAGAAAAGCAGCGACCAAAGATGGGTCATGTTTATCCTACAGCACAAGAGAGGCCTCTGTGGTGGGTTTTTCCATCTGAGCCAAGGTAAATGTATGCTGTGGAGGTGTTTATAGCATTAAAGTGGGCTGTCTTTATAAGTAGTCTTTGGTAAAGGAGGGGTTTAACCTCAAAGCTTAGTCCCATGTTGCTTTACTGAGGCAGTGTTTACAAAAGGTATTGATATGGGAAGGGTTTAGAAATGGCCAAAGGTGCACAGGCATGTAAAATGTGAATCGTGCGAAGTGAATGAGGCAGCTTTCTGAGGTTAGGTTGGCTTTGATAGCTATGTTTGACTATCTGTTTCTCAAACAGGGCAGGAAAATTATTAGCTATGTCTTTCCTCATTCCCTCTCCCATTTAGCACTGAAACAAGTTAGAAATGGTTGTGGATGTGTAATGTTGCTGCAGCAGCTTAGATTCTTCCAGTTTCTTACTGCTGGGATAAACTATTCCATTTCAGAGGAGATTGTGCAGAAAAACCTGAAGGGGCCTTGTCATATGTGTTTTACTCTTCTGCTATAGTTGAAGCAATTTTGAATTGGTGAATGTATGCTAGACTACAAGCACAAAGAGAACTTGCCTTGATGCCATATTGTATGGTCAACTGTCAATCCAAGCCCAAGCATTCTGAGATCTGACTTTTCATTTCTTGTCTTGAAAAACTTACACAATTCAATGTTTTAAATAACTCTATATATTACATGATTTTTAAATTGCCCATTTGCAGCCCTGTTTCCATCCAGGGCAAAATGCCACTGTCTCCCCATGCCAGTTACACTTTCAGCAGAGGCATCTGTCACTCCATCTTTCAGGCTCTTCTTTGTATAAGTTTTCAAATATAGGAAGGGTAACCTAATATGGGCTAGGCATGGTGAATAATGCTGTTTGACAGGTAAGCATACACAGCAAATATTACAGTAAGTTTGTGGAGAGTTACCTGGGACCAAATCCTACTGAACTTGTTGGACTGCACATTTAAGAGGTACACTATGCATAATCTAGCAAGATAACTTCTAGGAGCTTTTTCATTACCAAAGTTAATTTAATTTCTGATCCAATTATAGAGACATTGGTTGCAAGTTTTCTTTGCAAGTTCATTGTGGAATAGAAGTGACTAGTGTGTTTTTGCAATTGAATTGATCCAAAGGGCATCTTCAGAGCCAGACTTGTCAGAGTAGAAGCCAAACAAACCACTAGGGAATCTTTTAAGTCGGGTGCATTCAAGTTTCTGCAGCCAGAAGCAACTCCAGTCAGTAGAAAAATTTGGCAAGAGACAAACCATTTCTGATGTAGGAGGGAACTATAACCTATATAGTCCAGTGTTCATTTCCTGATGGTTCCTCCTGGGCTTTAAATTTCTGCCTTCGACCTCCTTCTGCCTTCCACTTCCTAAAATCCTTCCACATTTTATACCATGAGTTCTGCCATTGCAACTTATCATCTGCCTTGTTATGCTACTGATTTCAGTAAAGAAAGAAAGTATATTTAGAATCCAGGTTCTGGTGGGCTGGGGATGTTGTTAAATTGATTAGCAATTTAACAAATAGAGAAATAAATAAGTATAATGGACAGGGGAGGGAATACTTGATAGAAGCAGATCTTAGAGTCTGTAGTTCTTGGATCATCATATTTCCTGGTAACTTCCACCTATGGTAAAAGCTAATGTTATTTGAGGTCTTACACCCAACAATTATAGTAACAAAGTCTGCTCTTCTGACATTAACAACAACAATACTCTTACCCATCCCTAAATAACTTTATTTAAAAATAAAGTGCTCTGATGTCCTTCACTATCGCCATCCCACACTTCAAGGTTATCCTAGGAACATCTATGCACAGGAAATCTTTTAAATAGCCTATCACATGTTTATTTTCCTTTAAAAGGTTCAGACTCTGTCTGCATGCATAGCAAAAACTATCAGTCAAGACAATTTATATTCTTTGAGGAACTGGATACTTTTTCTTTGCAGCAATTGCTGCTGCCATGCAACTGATCTAGAGCTAGCTCAGCCCAGTCCAACTATGTCAAGGCTTCCCTGTCCCTCTTCTGTTCACATAGGTAATTCTACATGATTTGTTCATCGTTCAAGGCTTCAGAGTTGGTCATTCTTATTGTACTTTCCTGCTTCTAAGACCTTTCTTGCTAAATGGGCTGTGAGATGTGTAGCTTGCATATGAAACATGGATATGAAACAGTTTTGTTTTTCTTGTTAGGGAGGGAACTGTAGCAAAAATCCCTCATTTCAATGTATCCATGAACTTGATAGCTGTTGATGCTAACACTTAGTCCCTCTTGTGAAGTTGAGTTGGGAGGTTCCCTTCATACTGGCATTGAAAAATGGTAGGTATATCACCTGTTTGTCTGGAGGCATATAGTGGATCTTGTTAATTCCAGTTCTCACTTACTAAGGAGCAAGCTGTTCTTCCCAGTTGTTCAGATGGAATACTTGAACATGTGTGGGCAGTATTTGCTTGGGGCTCAGAGATCATGTTCCATTTGAGCTGAGGCTTGCAGCCTGACACTTACTCTTAAATAAGCTTGCCTACATTCAGTGAGATTTCAGGATTGTTGCTCTGGTTCTGGAAAGTGTTTTCAGTGTGTATTTCTAGTGTAAATGATTGTGCGCCTGGAATCTTGTGCTCAGCTGAACAGGCAGGGCATCCTTACTCGTATGGCATATGTGTTGCTGGTGGGAAGCATGGCTAACCTCCATCCTTCTGTTGCTGTTTAGTTATCAGCTCTGTGTGAAAAGGAATGTCATACTCCAGGGAACCGAAACAGCAGGGATACTCTTATGTTTGTTCTGAACTGCATTTTAATATAGCAGCACTTTAGAAAATGCGTGTGGGTTCTCTCTATGTTTTTGTTTTAATTTTGAGCTCTTTGAAAACAGGAGTACAATTGAATGTTATTAGTTCAATATTGATTGATTACCTTCTGTGCTGTACTATTTAACTGCCTGTGGCACAGGATTAGAAATGTTCTTAATATTTGTATTCTTCATGAAAATAGCTTCCAGATATTGCTGTATTTTAAATAAACTTAATACATTTTTGCTTCCTTTCTGCTAAGGCACCAAAGATAATTCATAATTTTAATTAAATACTGGAATGAACAAGTGACACCACAGTAGGGGGAAAATACCATAGGCTGATTGAAGGTCTCTTCTGGAGCATGAATTGTAGAAATTGAATTCAGAACTGGATTTTCTGCTAATTGAGTAATACATGAAATAAAATACTAGTGCTGGGTAGGCAGTTTGCTTTTTGCTGAGTGCTGCAGTCAAGGCACAATATAAACTGGAATGCCACTGCAAACTTGATATTTTAATTGCATTCTTAAGAATTACATATTAATTCTGCAAGCACACTAAATGCTAGGCTGCAATTACTGGGAATGTGCCCTATACTTTGTTAAAGTTGATAGTATTCTGAGTTTTGAAATGTGTTTGGATTAAAGATTCTGACTGAACAACAAGGACAATTACTTAATGTGAAATAAGCAACTATGTCACAGAGAAACAGATGGAGGAATCTTCATCTCATTTAGTTTTTTGCTTCTGAGTCTTCACCAGACCTTATTAGTGTATTTTCAACTCGATTTCCATGAATGCCAGCATTAGAAATACACAAGATATAACTGGTCTACCACCTCTCCTGCTGTCTCCATCCTATGTGAATTCTCAGAAAAGTTCTCACAAAAGTGCTTCTGGAGAGTGTCTAGCTTTATTGTAGTTAAAGCCTTAGAAATCTGTTACTTCAATTGCAATTTCATTGGGGCATGAATGCAAGAGGAGAACAAGAAGTGTAACAATTACTTCAAAGTCCTCATTTTTATCACAGGTATTGTTTCTGTTGTGCTTAAAAGCTAAGCAT